TCTCTGTATGTGTCATACTTAGCTGAGTATGTATCTCTGTATATGTCATACTTAGCTGAGTGTGTATCTCTGTATGTGTCATACTTGGCTGAGTGTGTATCTCTGTATGTGTCATACTTAGCTGAGTGTGTATCTCTGTATGTGTCATACTTAGCTGAGTGTGTATCTCTGTATGTGTCATACTTAGCTGAGTGTGTATTTCTGTATGTGTCATACTTAGCTGAGTATGTATCTCTGTATGTGTCATACTTAGCTGAGTATGTATCTCTGTATGTGTCATACTTAGCTGAGTGTGTATCTCTGTATGTGTCATACTTAGCTGAGTATGTATCTCTGTATATGTCATACTTAGCTGAGTATGTATTTCTGTATGTGTCATACTTAGCTGAGTGTGTATCTCTGTATGTGTCATACTTAGCTGAGTGTGTATCTCTGTATGTGTCATACTTAGCTGAGTGTGTATCTCTGTATGTGTCATACTTAGCTGAGTGTGTATCTCTGTATGTGTCATACTTAGCTGAGTATGTATCTCTGTATGTGTCATACTGAGCTGTTTATTAAACTTACATTTAGTCTCTGAAATCTTATATTACACAATATCCTTCTCGACTCTAAATTATTTTTTTTTTAAATTCCCTGTGCTGATCTCTGTGGAATAGAGCTAGTTGGAGCTGGCTAGACTTGTTTTTGTATGCCTTTCTAGATTTTTGGTTGTGTTTTTCATAAAATAAATATATCCCACAGTCATGGTGCCGGACTAGCCGTTTATTTGTGTCCGTATGAATCATTCTAAGCTGCTTATGTGTGTGTGTATGTGTTATTATTCAGCTATATTTGGCTTCATACTTTACTTTACACAAGAGATATAGATGTATTTGTATTACTGACCTTCTATAACTGTCAGGTCTCAGCTGTTTACGTATGTGTTGTTGTTGATGTCATAGCTTCTCGATCTATTCCAATATTGGTATATGTATGTATTGATTCATGTGCGTGCCCCACTATGTGCACTGACAACATATGTCGTTTTTGTCAAGAACATAGAACATTATTTCAGATAATTAGTCCGATGAGGCAGCCATGACCCTGATATGTTGTACCGAAGTTGATTCATATCGGGCGCGGGTGTCACGTATCAAATGGAACTATGCTGGTAAATTGTCAGGTTAACGGAAGACTGGCTGCATCCAAGCCGGGCCTATATTCTGTTTACAAAGCAATGCACGTGTGTACCCAAGGTTCAGTTGATCGTCGTTCAACCTTTTTAAACGTATTGCATTTTCACCACACGCCACGTGAAAATCTATGTGGAACAATGAGCTCCGCCAAGGCCATGAAACATGTGTTTACCTTACTTCTGCAAATCATTGTTATGATTTTGCATTGAAATGTATCTTTTTCATGAAGTTAATCTTCGCATGAAATTAGATTGAAGTGTTCTGTTTTTTTGGTGTGTGACAGCACGGCTTATGCCTCTCAAACAATTAACTACTACCAGAATCATTTGACCGTCAAATTTAACATCGTCATCGTCATCGTCATCAATAATTGTTCAATTCAATGTCATCTGACGTCATGTATGGGGCGTCTACACATGGGCACACATTCATATCTCTCCCTTTTTCTCTCTCACTGAGTCAGTCAATGAGTACATACAGCCAGATACACAGACGCAGATACACACATACATAAAGACATACAACAAAGACACATAGACACATAGACGAAGGGTTATACATATGTACAGTAATTCAACCAGACACACACACACACACATATATATATATCTTTGTCTATGTGTCTGTCTGAATGTCTGTATATATGTGCATCTCTCTCCACCCCTCTCTCTCTCTCTCTCTCTCTCTCTCTCTCTCTCTCTCTCTCTCTCTCTCTCTCTCTCTCGCCCTATCTCTCTCTCAATATATATATATATATATATATATATATATATATATATATATATATATATATTGACATACAGCCAGACACAAAGATATATATACATATATTCAGACATTCAGCCAGACACACAGACACATATATACATATGAACAGACACACAACCAGACACAGACAGGTATGCACAGACATGTATTTATGGTCATGCAGTCAGACACACAGACACAGCTGTATATATAATTGAGGCAGACATTATGACAGACACACGAACATAAGACATACACACTGACACACATACACACACATACGTAGGGACACTGCCCAGTCTGTCTCACTGTCCCAGAACCACATAATGAAACTCACATCTCACTGGGGCTCCTTTTCAATAAAATGTCGTTGCTTGTTTCTATAAAAACTTATAGAGACTAAGCTTCCGCCCACCTTTCAGTCTGTAAATCTCTATATATACGACATACATGCTGGTTTCAGTGGAGAATCCACGATGATTTCATGACATGGTCAGGATTGCTGCACAGCGAATACACGTATAATGAATAGCCATATACTTATAGTCACTGATGTAGTATATTCAATTACTGCCACGGGGTATTAGCTGCATTAGTATATTCACAACCATAGCATACTGATTCAACGTATATTTACTCGTACAACATATATGTTGATTTAGAACAGTCACTGATATATTTTCACATTATTTAGCAATTTCACTACAGTGGTACACATACATGTATGTAAAAGTATATTCACAGCATGTCACCGTCTATGCCATATTTGACAAGGTATACCCACCCTCCAGTGTATTCACTTGTGTAGAATATTTACGGCTGTGGTATATTCTGTGCAATAGTAAATTCACTGATGTTGCAATACTATTCACAATCATTGTATATTCACTTTAATGATAGTTTTACTGACAGATATACAATTGTACAAAACATGCACTTGTATCGCCGTTCATGCACAAATGTAGTTATGCTATAAGTTTATCATTTACTGGTTCGACACACGTTCTGTGGTATGTTATTCGTTCTCTCAAAGCGAACACATGTGACTCACCGGAGCATTTCATACCAGCAAGCACTGTATGTATGTCTAAGATAATATAAACATATTAACTCGAGAGAGGTTTTTGTACTTAGCTTATGATAAATCGCATTTTACTTTGTAAATTTCAAAACTTCTTTTCACATGACGTCATACTGAATTTAGGTTTATTGTTCAATTTGGACATAAAACGCAAATTAGTGTGCGTTCGAAAAACAACTTTTGAAAGGTGAGCATTGGTTGCTTTGCTGCTTGGCTGATTTTACTGAACACATCAAAAGCTTTGCATCAGAAATGTCTTTAAGTTTAAAAGATAGTAAAACTTTTATGTGCTTTTTATCTTAATACAATATGTCATAAATTCCACATTACATTCACACTTGAATGCTAACAGCATGTATCTGAACATTATAAATACAGTCATTTTATGGACTTAAATTATGAAGTCTAAAAGTTTATCAAAACAATTATGGTTTTCATTAGAGCGACATGTTATAGTTTATTGGGCGTTTTCATGTAAACTTACAGACAAATTTTCAGGCAGTTAAATCCGTAATTCTCCCATCGTCCCTTTTGTTAAGACATGCCCATTAAATCCAAACAAAATATCATCTGAACTGTTTTTACTTTTAAGGGTATTATCAGATGGGTACTTAAGTTTATCGTTATTAGGCTACACTTTTTATCAAACAAAATTCATAATGTTCATTCCCTTTGATAAGTGGCCGATTTGTTAGAAAACCTAAAAGGCATTCAAAACATAATGTTGTACCGTCCGGCAGTCTCAGCTGTACCGACACATAGGTAGCGCGCCCGTCTTTGAAAAGTCGATTTCAATTATATGCTCCAGTTTAACATTGCCTCTCTCCTCGCTCGGGAGCTCATTGCTGGATAAATTAAAATCTGCTGGTGCTGAAGAACATTTTACGTTATATCCTATAAACAATTGAAAGAACTTTGCGGCAGGAAATAATGGACATAATTCATTAATGGAGGAACAGTAACTGAAGCACACAAACCGAATGTTTTGTGACAAATGTCATTACATATATATTATATATATTCCTCCAATTTTTCATTTGATATTGAAAAAACGTTATATAAATTTGTGACGATGGCCTGAGAAATAATAATAATTCTGTCATTGACATACATTATTATTATTATTATTGTTGTTGTTGTTGTTATTGTTGTTGTTTGTACTGTTATAGCATATTTGTATTATACTGTGATATAATTACACACACACACACACGTGTGTGTGTGTGTGTGTGTGTGTGTGTAGTTCTGTATGTGTGTATATATATAGCTTATTAGCTTAAATTAGCTTACATCTGCAAGCGGTCACGCGATATTTGTTTACTCGTATTTCCCTTATGTAAACACAGACAATTTATTGATTCCAGTGTAGTGAGGGATAAACAACATTGAAAATGGTTAATAGCTGACTCCGAATAATAGACCACTTTTAAAACAAACTCAGAACAAATTTTAAATTTTGCGTAGCTTGTATCTGTTAAAGTGTATTATCGTGAGCCACACTTGAAACAGGTGCCCGAGTCTGTGATACAATCGGCTGAAGATGAAAGGCGCCAACTGAAATCTACAATTGGCGATGGGAAATGTGCACTGAAATCGACAATCTTCCAACCAGCTAGGCATCAGTTTGCTTTTAAAGGCAAGTCAAGCTGAAAGACGTTTGTAAATAATGTTTTGTGTTTGGATTTGATTTCTTTGCAGGGCATTTTCAAGAATAGTTTAAAATAGTTAATAATTTTTGTTTTTCATGAGTGCCTTGTCTCTGTTGGCCTCTGAGAGGCACAAACTGTAAAAAAAAATGTTGTTGCTCGCTGCTTTCCAAACTGTTGCGTATGTTAAACGAAGATTAAAAATATATTTTTTAAAAACAAGGAATGGTGTGTAAAATCTTATCAACGAACAGTTGTGGAAAAGTTTGGAAAAGAAATGTTAAAAATGAAAATATGATCTGCATAATGTATGCATGATTACAGAGGAATCACAACATTTCTACTCACTAGCTGGAGCTGGTATCCCGGGGGGGAGCGGCAACCAGGAGTGTGGGGAGCGGCAGGAGACGCCCCACTTGGCTTCCCCCAACCGTTGACCGTATGGGCCTGGATAAGAGTTCGTTGCCAAGGGAGATTTCTGACTTGATTTGCCAAGAATATCAGCCACACTGAATGACGAGTGGGTGACATGTATTGACGGAGATGAAACTGATGATGATGGTGATGGCGGAGGTGACGCACACGATGACGCAGAGTCATCTTCACAAACGACGTCATGAACTGCATCGTCTGCTCCATTGCATTTGTCGTCTGATCGCTTCCCGTGATTGTCTGATATGATTGATTCAACACTGAATGACAGTCTTTCCTTAGGACCAGTAGAGTTAGTCATGGTGTCAGAGTTCGAAGTCTTCGGAGGACATTTGACCGGTTCAACTGGCCTTTCTTCGACAGATGAAGTTTCAGTTGAGGATGCCAGTTTTGTAAAAGCTGAGTGTGAACTTGTTTTAAAACTCGGTGGAGATCGAGATCGAGTAAGTTGTACCTCCATATTGAACAGGAAATGTGATAATCACACACGACTCTTCTCACATAGACTTGCAAGTAAACACGACATTTTCCATCACTAAATCGTCTGCTCGTTCACTGACAATATATTCCAGAAGACTTCTGTTAGCGGAAGTGACGTGCTGTTGCTCCATGCGAGAGGGGCAGACGCCTGTATAGAATGTCCAATCAAATTTGCTGCTTGTGAAATTGACAAGAGTCAGGGATCGCCAAATGCCACGTGACTCTGTTTACACTCAGGGCTTGACGGGGAATTAGCTGAGCATGATATGGTGGGAGGGGGAGGTGTTGGGGGACTAGGGGTTGAAACGGAGGGGGATTTAGACAGGGAGACGAGAGACTGGCGGATAATGAGAGATAGCAGTGGTGCGCAAGCGTCGCGGTGTTCAGGGTAAAATACCGACTGAACAAAGCATGTTCAGTGATCTGGGACAACTGTGGGTCCTTGGTTTAGGAGCCACTGCAGTTAGACAACCGAAGCGAAAAATCGCTCAGCGGTGTACCAGAACTCAGAAACTCCTTCTCGCGACGTGAAATCCTCAAATATTGCTGCATACATTTAAAGCAATTTTACCAGATTTATGCAAATTTCTCCTCGTGCTGCGATGTTTAGGATTCCAGACCAAGTCCAGTTAAACCCCCCTCACGAGCTCCCCAGGGCGTTATGGAGGGGGCTTCGCCGTAATCGCGTTTATATTCTAATGACGAGTTGAACTCGGCTGGGTGTAACTTTATTAATGTTGAAGACAAATGGACGGAGGTGTTGAAGTCGCTGTATTCTGTACACCTCGTGTCGCCAGGTATTATAGCGAGTATCCCATGCATTAAATATGGGGCATTTTATTAAGATGACGAACCCCAAACTTCACTATGGGGATACACCAGACTCGCATTATGTGTATGGCTTTGGTGATTATTACCTTGTGCGCTTTGCTACCTTCGCACCCTGCCGTGGCATTTCTCATAATGAGATCGGTAATTTTAAAAACACTATGAGAGATCGTTTATCGCGGTACAAAACGTCACGTGTTTTATATTAATCATCCATTTACTTAGCTCCTTTGCTAGGATGATGTCTTGCTAAGCAAAATCGTCATTACTTTTTATTCGGACTCGGGAGTGGCAAAAACATTAGCCATGGGGGACGTAAATTAACATGTTCGCGAGATTACTCGTTGGCGGGTTTTTTCGGACGCGCGAGCCTGTGTAGATATATGCGAAGGAAATGAAATCATCGCGTGGTGAAATCATGAAATATATAACACTTTATATGAAAAGTCGCACATGTCGTCATTCACTGAGAAAACACGAGAAAATATTTCTCCTCAGTTTGGAAGATGAATTATTTTCGTGATCTTGTGTGACAGGTTTTACTTTCGAAATAACTGAGACAAAGACAAGATTATCATCATCATCATCATCATCATCATCATCATCTTCTTCTTCTTCTTCTTCTTCTTCTTCTATATTATTATTATTATTATTATTATTATTATTATTATTATTATCTACAGATTAAAGTAAAAAATGCAGCAAAGAGGGTTTGACAGCCAGGCTGGTTTGGCTCATCATCAGCACAGGGCCCTTGCCCCCTCTACACGCAGCCCAAGCGGCGAACGGGACTTTTCCCAGGAAGCGCTGCCTAGTCGAACCCACCTACACCCAGAACTTTTCGGAGAATGTGACGACTCCACAACACTGTAGCCTTCTGCATTACCCAGATTGACATTTGGAAAGCGAAGTCCGCATATTTGCCATGTTTTTGTTTTTGTTGTTGTTGTTGTTGTCGTTGTTGTTATTATTGTCATTATTATTATTATTATTATTATTATTATTATTATTATTATTATTATTATTATTATTATTGGCGCATATCTAATGTATTAAACCCATGTCAGGTACAAATGAAAGAATGTCCCTTCATATAGCATGACTAAGAAACCATTGAGACATTTCAGTTCTACCTGGTGACTCCCCGAGTGCCTTGTTTGTAGGTCAGTATACCGCTACTGTTCCCACCAAGTCACCAGAACCCCCTTGTCGGACATGTCCGCACCCCCAGCTGTTTTATGGCCACTCCACAACACAACATTTCCACCTCTGTCTCACAAAACCGGACTAAATTTTCTGTCGTAGTTGCACTTCGCCTGTGAGTTCTCCAGCTTTAGAATTGTCGCTTTTGTTCGATGTCGTCGTCTGGCGCCACGGACGCTGCAAATAACTGCTATATGCCCGCCTCCTCCCCCATCGGTTGGGGCTACACGATACCCCGACTAAATCGTTCGTTTCATTTGTCTAAAATGAAAAGCTTCTTTGGGGACCATTTCAAAATGGAATGTATAAATATGGTTAAAAAATTCAATTAGAACTGACCCTTAAGGTTTTATAAAAAGATCAACCATTTTCGTCGAAAGACTATTATTAATTTGTTATAAATATTCATTATTATTTTTGTTGTTCAGATCTGATCGTTTCACGGCGGAACAAAAACTATTTGAAACGTATGTTAAAGTTTGAAAACCGGAACCAATCGCTGTACAAATCGGATCGTTTAAGTTTGTTTTTAAAATATCCGTGTTTAATTTTGGCATTTTTAATTAATTCATTTTACAGCAATTGCTCCTCTGCTTCTTCTGAAAGTTTCGGGCAAAGGGAGTGGTACCTCTCTATCTGAAAACAACGATGTCTATGTGGATGCAGTTCAGTTATTAACACAGCTGTTTAAAGTACCAACAAAAATACACCACCTACCAAGTTGAATGAACTAAATCTTACTGAAAATAAAGTTCAAAACGACATGTTCAAGAACATTTCAAATAAGGAGTAAGGGCCGCACTTGTTAAGAACTCATCTTTTGATGAGCATACATATCATTAAACACATGGCATCACTTCAGACAGTTAAATTCTACTCGCAACAAACAGGTTCAAAAATATCTATTAATATTTCTACTTACATACCTGCTACATGCCCGCACAATCACAACTTCCACGTGCAATAACTCCGAAATGCATGCTTTTCAGATGTCTCTATGAGATTGATTAACGTCAATTAAGAAACGTCGTTAATTGCCCTGATACCGTAAGAGAGTCGGGTGATTAGCGAAGATGTTACTAGAGTTACGTTTGCTCAAGTGGTAGATAAATCAATGCTAAGTGCATACATTCCAGATCGTTTATCTATACTTCCAGGAACCTAATTACGTTGCCGTTAACCACAGGCAGAGCCAATACACAGACATTGCATAGAGTTATTGTCATGACGGACCACGGTTATTGTACAGGAGCCTTCTTTCTTCAGTGGATCAATACGCACACCATCTCGTGCCAACATCGCCCTACAAGCAAACACACCGTACGGTAGCTAAATGTGTACTTCTTAGCACCTGATAAACGCACCAGTCTAAGTCAATGAGCAGTGAGGGTTGTAACAATCCACAAGAATGAGGATCGGTAGGTTACAATGGCTTGTCTGCCTGATTGTTTATCATTCTATACCGACGGCTTTGATATGACGGCATTGCATCTCATGCTGTCGACCACTTGTTGGCCTTTTAGCAGCAAGAACAGCCGAAATAGTGTTAACTGTGGCGTAAAGAACATTCTCTCACTGACTCGACTGGTCAAATTAATCTGTTGGTGATGCACACTTGTTAAAACATTTAGAAAGAATGCTCAATGTTTGCTGAAAAAAATGACACGAAGCTTCTGATATCCAAATTCAATTGTTATTATTTAACAATTCACATCTGCTATAAAGGGACAAATAGATTGGTGTTTGTATTCAGTCTCACATGGAATGGTCTCACATAGAATGGTAATGTCAGTATAAAGTCTAGGTCATGTCAAGCTCGGAATGGAAATATGTTTATATGATCGCAGTTTATATGATGGAAGAATTTGCATATATATGCAGATTGTAAAGGAAACCGTCCTTATTTTTATTATAATTAATAATGATGATGATGATGTTATTAAAAATAAAAATCAATGTATCTTTCCAGGTACGGTGAACACAATGTTCCCAGTGATCATACATCCTGTCTGAATGGTACACGCGCTGTGTGTATGAATGCGTCGACTGATTATGCATAGATATCTATTAGAAGACCGGAGGCTGTTCGTGAATCATCGCTATGATGAGTAAAAATATTTCATTTACATGATTTTATTGTTTGCCTCCTTCTATCCTGATTTCGGGGACACTGCTGACCCAATCCATAAAGCACCTGTACAGAGCTGCGTCCATTAGTTTGGCCAGGTTTAATCCTCGATTTGCCCTAAGCTCCGTTCCTAAAAGCTATTTTAGTGGTACGACATCCGTTGCTCCCACACAAAACATAACATTACAATAGTCTTAGCGCTATTATCGCTTTATGATTCTGTGTGCACATCCTTTGTTTGTTTGTTTGTGGTTTAACGCCACACTCATCAATAATCGAGCTATGTGGCGGATAATCGAGTCTGGATCAGACAGTCCAGTGATTGACATCATGAGCATCGATCCACGCACTTGGGATACGATGTCATGCGTCAGCCAAGTCAACGAGCCTGACCACCCAATCCCGATAGTCGCCTCTTACTACAAGAATAGTCGCCTTTAACAGCAAGCATGGGTTGACGAAGACCTATTCTACCCCGGATCTTCACGGGTTTGTGCACATCCTACCTGTGCTCGTGGTTGCTGCTCTAGAAACTGCATCACTTCGGGCTTTCTGCATTAACCTGACAAGCCATGACATAACTGAAACAAAGCGGCTTTAAAACCAACTCACTAAACTCACCCACGGTAGAAAACCACAATAAGATACGATGATAATAAAACTTGACCGTTAAGAAGGCGGATGACAAGATCAACTTTCAAGCGAGGGTTACATCCAGTAAATCTTGGGAACAGATTTGTATAAGTCCCATACTGATTTTGTTTTAAACAGTAAAAATACTCAAAGCTGAACAAGCAAGCTAAAAAAACGGAATATCAAAGCTCAAAAATGACCGTTGTGTGTATTAATGGCTCAACTTTGTATTGGATTGTCCCCTGTTCAAGCTCTTCACGTGCCTGGAACATGCAATTATGTTACACATTGAACGCACCGTCCCGCTCTCTCATATGCCTGGAACATGCAATTATGTTACACACTGAACGCACCGTCCCGCTCACTCATATGCCTGGAACATGCAATTATGTTACACACTGAACGCACCGTCCCGCTCACTCATAT